AGTATGTTCAACTTGTGGTGGGAGGGGTCAGGTGATGAGGACTGAACAAACACCTTTTGGGATGTTCTCACAGGTAATTATTGTTCTTTCCTCATGGATCTGTATATATATTTTTCCCTTTAATTTTGTATACTGTACTGTTGTGTCTTCCAAATAAGTTTCTCTATTGGGGGCAGACATTCTGCATGTCCCTTTGTAATTTTCCATTTCTTTTCATGAATTGTGGACATCCTCATGCTTTACTTGTGGGAGTTATTGATTTATTTTGCAATTGGTTATATTACTTCATACGATCATCTTCATTTTGTGCAGTTTTCTTGCACAAGGTAAAAACCTTGTACTTTTCGTCTGCCTGAGAGTACTTTTCCATCCTAATATCTTTCTCAATTCTAGGTTTCAGTATGTCCAAGCTGTGGAGGGGATGGAGAAGTCATATCTGAATATTGTCGTAAATGCAATGGTGAAGGACGAATACGGATTAAGAAAAATATTAAAGTTAAAGTTCCTCCTGGTGTTAGCTCAGGCAGTATTTTAAGAGTTTCTGGGGAGGGTGATGCTGGACCAAGAGGGTATGTTGTTTTTATATTAATGTCTGACGTTTGTATTGTGAAAGTCTTTGACCAACTACTTCATAATAATTATATTGAGAATTTGTGTGTTTTGCTTGTATTGTAAATGACATGGATACACGATTCCATCAGTGAGTAAGTTTGTCTTGCTCTCTGACGAAGGAAGGATGGATCTTCAAAAAGGAGTATTAGTATGTCCTGCTTAATCTAAAAGAACATAAATAGGCGAAGGAAAGACATCCTCACAAGTGTAGCTGTCCAGGGATGGACAAATGCCCCCTTCGAAAACTTGAGCACATATCTATAATAAATGACTCTTAAGGGTGGGATATGAAGAATGTTGCAGTACAACCTACTCCATATGTAAATACCTAATGGGAAATGTATGTAAATAGAGCAACATATTGGTCATAAATTATCCTAATGCTTCTTTAAATGGAGGTGGTTTACTTCTATGTGAATTTAGACTATTTTATTGTTCAAAACATGATCTGGAAGTTGCTATATATCTTGTCATAGCAGGGGACCTCCTGGAGATCTTTATGTCTATCTTGACGTGCAAGAGATACCTGGAATTCAAAGGGACGACATTAATCTCTCCTCAACAATATCAATCAGTTATCTAGATGCAATACTGGGGGCTGTTGTGAAGGTAAATTAATTTAGTTGGTACTCTTGGTTTGAGTTCGACTTGGGTCATTTCACATAGGCTGGACACTTTTGGTCCTCTTAGTTTTAGTGGAAATATCATTATTCTAGTAATTTTCATTGTTATTCTTATACATGTTACCGCTTGTAAAACTTGACGCCTGGCATAGTCTTTGGTATTCTGTTCAGGCCTTGACCTTAAAGTATTTTTTTTTCCCCATAATAATGCTATATCAGCTCTTATAATACTCACATATCTTCCTTTGGGTGGAAACTGTAGCATGACCTGAAAGTAATTTTGTTGCCTTGTGCGTCTCATAAAGATTCATAACTGATGTTACCAAATGATATTTTTGCAAAAATGTTCAGCTAATAAGATTATGATTGACTGAATATACAGTGTTCCCTTTTTTTATATTTTATGATATTTATTACTTTTTATCATTGAATATTAAGTTACAAGGTTTAACATATACTAGATATTTTGTTATTTTTCGCGTAGCGTTTTTTTCTTTTGGTATATCATTGGTGTCAGCTGTTAATAATTTGTGCACTCACCTTCGATGGATTGAATTTGGTACCTAAACAGGTAAAAACAGTTGAAGGAATTTCGGAACTACAAATACCTGCTGGTACCCAACCCGGAGATGTCCTCGTCCTTGCAAGAAAAGGTGTACCAAAATTAAATAAACCATCAATTCGTGGTGACCACTTATTCACTGTTAAGGTTACAATACCAAAACGTATTAGGTAATGAGTCTTCATGTATTGTTCTTTTATACTCATTTGATGAATCTATATCAGAGGTTTGATATCAATTGTCTCTGCACTGCATCTTTAGTACAAAGGAACGTGAGTTGCTTGAAGAACTTGGTTCTCTAGGTGACGCAAGCAAACGTTTAAAATCTCGGCCTAAGACCCACTCTTCAAGTAGGTGGTTTTTTTTATTATTGACATATCTGTTAGTTTTCCACCCTCCCTATTCTACAATCTATAGGAGCATTTGGTCATTTGACAGCTTTAATCTTTTATATAACCTGACATTCGATCAGGTCTTTGCAACACGTTTTCATGTTGCAATAGAGAAATCCTACAATGCAATGAGTACACACTATATTTGAGCCGTGAACCATATTTTTACCTTCTGTATCAGGTGTTACGGAAACTCCTACACTTCAAAAGGATGAAAGTCCAACAGTAACATCAGAAGAAAAAAGTGAGAAATCAGAAGACGAAAACGATGTATGGAATAAATTGAAGGACTTTGCTGGGTAATAATTTTCTCATATTTTATTTTAATTTTTCCATAAATGTGTATGGAGAGCCTTGGATTTTCACAAGTCGAAAACATGAATTCTGATTGTAATACCTAAATTATGCAGATAAACATTCCTCTTTTCATTAAAAAAATCAAATAAAGCATTTCAGTTTTAATGAGACGTAGTTGAAGAATCTCCTTAATATACCACGGGCTCTTGAAAGGACTTGTAGTTCTGTCATTTATAAGTTCATGAGCCCTTTAATCTATATCAATTTATTTCCGTACTCCAATGCTATTTGACCATGTAAGAAATGATTCTGTACATGAGTGAGTGTCTTTCTCATTGAGTTGATGCATCGGAATGGAGATTTTTGGTTCTATGTTTGATCGTTGATGCTTTTTACTATTGTTTGAGTCCTCACAAATGTTTTGACGAGAAAAGAAATGCTGAACTGGACTGGCTTATCGGTGCAGATTGATAGATTGTTTTAAATGTGCCGTTTATTGTGATTCTATAGGATTCTAAATTTCCGAAGAAAAAAAAAATTGTTTGTACTGGTCCTACTGTTAGATTGAAAGTTTTTTCGGTCATTGGTATTTGGTAATTGTTTCATTCACATGTTTGTGAGTTGAGTGCAATGTCCGAAACTTACCGTCAATGAATCCTGCAGATCTGTGGCAAATGGAGCTTTCAAGTGGCTGAAAGATAATCTCTAGTCCCATGGGGTTGTTGAATGGAGCAGAATCTTCAAGATAGGTTTGCAGTGCTTATGATTTCAGTAGTTACTGGAAGGAAAGGAACTAATGGAGACAATATTTTCTTCAAATGCTTTAACTGAATTTAGCTACGCGGCAAAATCAAACAAGTAGTGATGCTTATTCTTTTATTTGTTTTTTTTTCTTGTAAATTTTTGAACAAGACGATTTATACAGAATAACTTGTTCAAGGATAGTCGAATTGTACTCTATGAGCAGGTTGCACTAAGAAAGCTAGTGTACATCTGAAAGGAAGTCTAACCTCTGTTCGAGTGAATTACCTAAAAAATAGATTTTAGTAAGTTAATCCTTGTGTTTAGTTCCACTCTTCGCATAGTTTTATATTTTCTACTAACACATTGAATAAACTAAGACATTAAATTAGTTTCTAGATTCATACTTCTAAAATGAGAAAAAACAATATTTGATTATTGAAATTGACTAATAAATTATTTCAGTTATTAAGTAGCCATCAATTTGAACTCTGAATTGGGTAATTGTCAGTTAGCTTCTTAGAATGCATCATTTAATGAGATTAAGGGCCCAAAAAACTGATGATCGTCAAATTTAAATATTAAGTGGATAATATTTGTCAAATTTATAGTCTAGATTAATTGACTTTATTATTTCAGGTTAAAAATTCAAAACCTAAATCTAATATTTTTGTCTCCTCTACATTACTTAATGATTTTTTTAAATGAAATTTTAGACATCATTGTAAAAAAATATAAAACTTTTAGCTACTTTTTTTGTCAATTTTATTATTATATGGTCTAATAGACATAATAAAAATTGGGGTGCAATAAGATCTTTTAAATCCCTCGTTATGAACCGTCTAAACTTACGTTTTTTTAAGATCATATTCACATATTAAACATGAACAATTTAGTGTATTGGTTATTATTTACTTATTGTTACATGTTGTTATTTATTACATTGTCATTATACATATATTTACAAAAATCCTAATTCTTTACAAATATCCTAATTTTCTTATTGATTTTGAGGATAGGAAAGTTCTTTTATAAGTCTCTCATCTCATTTTAACATTAAGCTAGATAACAAAAAGCTTTCAAAACCACGTTTAAGATCTTATAACCTGTTTACAAGTCCACACTCTAAATTCCGGTGAAATCATTTATAATATAAAAAATGACTATTTAAATGCAAAATTAGTTATACAAATAATTTATTTCTTTTATAACTTTTTGCAACCGTATTTTCTAAATAATTCACACAAGTTATCTAAAAAATTCAATTTATTCACTTAAACATATTTTTTTCTACATGACTTATTTATAATAATAATAATAAAGTACAAAATTACATATTAAAACAGTGTTTTCAATGACTGATTCAAACCCGCTAATAAGTCAGATAGGATAGTTTGATTTTTAACGAGCCTTATTATTAATATTACTAGATTTAATTTTATACCGTCGTAGAAATTATGTGGACTCACATGCACTTACAAATAGAAATTATGTCAACTGTATGTATTCAAGTTATGTCAACAAATACGTAGCATTCACGAATTATGTTTTACCAATCCTGCTTAGTTCTTTGAAAACAAGTACAACAGCAAAAACACAAATTGTTCTAACGAAAATGGTGAGCTACTGGAAGGTCGAACCAGTCTCAATACCATCATCAATGATGAAAAATAATGTTCTTTTTTAAAGAGAAAAAGTATAGTTCCTTTGAGAAAACGGAATACTGACTCAACTTGATTTCTTTGACAGCATGCCCATTTTGGGGGATGTTCATTACACAAATAGTATATCAGTATCTACCAATTTGATTATGATTCATGAATAAATAACAAATAAAGTTCCTATTGGTCTGTAAGACTTTCCTTGATCAAAAGAAAAACAGCAACAAGCACAGGAGTTGAGATGATGATTAGAGCTAGCACAAGGTTGGGAGTAGTTATCTCAGGAAAAAGAGCGCTCCCATACTTGATCGCACCACCGCCTGCAAAAGAACCCGCCACCAGTTTTCCCACGTACACTAAATCCTCCTATTTCACATCAAGCAAGAAAGATAGTTAATTTAATCACTTCTGATAATCACACAAAAAAGGGGTTTTTTTTTTTTTTTTTAATTTACTTGAGAAGAAGAGGTGGAGCTCTGATCCTCCGTTTTGGGGTTAGAAGCGCGAGCAACAACGCGAGAAGAAAATCTGGTGAAGCCAATTTGCGTTGGGATTTGGAGGAACAAGGGCGTGTTTGTCTTGCTAACTCCGCGGCCGTTACATAAAAGCTTCCAACTCCAACCTATCCCTGAAACTGCCATGTCTGCTATCTTTTCCCTCACCACAAACAGCCATAACAAAACATAACTTAGAGGATTTCTTCCTGCCCCACTCATTATTATACGTGAAATGACTCAGTTACCCTTTCTTACAAAGTTTGCATCCAAATTTATATTATGATTTAAAATATAAATTTGTATTACATATTTTATTTCAAAATTAAATTATAAAATATATAATCTAAAATATAAATTTATGATACGAATTGTAAAATGTAAATGTGAATTTGCCCTATGAAGGAAATATTAATATTCTGTATAGATATAATTGGAATTTTAAAAAGTATGGGGTGTAGGAAGAAAATATAAAGGTGTAGAAAGAAATTGCCCAAACAAAACAAGATATGGGCTACAAAATGAAGGCCCAATACTGCCAAGGCCTATTAGTGGTTATAGTTTGTTTCTTCCTATAATGGCCTACTCGTTTTACCGGCGGTGGAAGAGGAAGTGTGTGAGAGAGACAGAGCAATATCTGAATCTGAAATCGTAAGCTTCGTGTTCTGTTGCGTTGAATCCCTAATCTGGAAATTGGACTGTTGAAGGGAAGAACAAGATGGTTCTGGCGGAGTTAGGGGGGAGCATTTCGCGTGCTCTCCAGCAGATGAGCAATGCGACGGTGATCGACGAGAAGGTGCTGAACGATTGCCTCAACGACATCACTCGCGCTCTTCTCCAATCCGATGTGCAATTCAAGCTTGTGCGCGACATGCAGACTAACATCAAGAACATTGTCAACCTCGACGATCTGGCTGCCGGGCACAACAAACGCAGGATCATTCAACAAGTACTTTTTCTTTCATCGTACTGGTTGACTAATTGATTAAGTAATTGGTGATGTGTTTCTTATTATTGCTTCAGCTAGTAACACTTGCTGGATTGTGTTTCTATTGGTAGGCTGTGTTTAACGAACTCTGCAAGATACTGGATCCTGGGAAGCCCTCTTTCACTCCCAAAAAGGGAAAAACAAGTGTTGTCATGTTTGTTGGTTTGCAAGGTCTGTTGCCAAATTTGAACTCTGTCAGGCTTTTTCAGCTTCAATTACTTGTTTTGTTCTAAACAAAGGAACAAGAATAAGAGCATTATAATTTCAAATCAATTCAGGTTCTGGGAAAACCACAACCTGTACAAAATACGCATATTATCATCAGAAGAAAGGCTGGAAACCAGCTCTAGTGTGTGCGGATACGTTCAGAGCTGGTGCATTTGATCAATTGAAGCAAAATGCAACCAAAGCTAAGATCCCTTTCTATGGAAGGTACTTGTTGTTTGTTAGTATTTATGTAGCTCTGATATGATACTATTTACTTGTTGATGAAGAATTTGATGGAGAGGATAGTCAAAATAAATTGTAGATTAACTATTTTGTGGTTAGTTATGCAACACTCTCCCTGATGAAAAAAAGAGTCATGGTTATATAGATGTTAATGAGTGCAACTAAACTTCTATCTGTATATGGCCCGTGTCGTAGCTTATTGAAATCTTTGTGTAAATTCTGTGTCGGTGCTTATTGAAATCTTTGTGTAAATTCTGAAACTACGGGGAATAATCTTCCAAGGGACCTGACTGGTTCTGTCTGGCAATGCAATTTAAAGGCTTAGTTCTAGAAGAATGTTCGTTTGGAAGAATCTTCCTTTATACTAAATAATGGGTCCCAAGGTCAGTGTTTGCTTATGTTCTTTTGGTAAATTTTAATTGAGGACAAGGTTAGATCAATGATTATTGTTGAACAAAATCACCTTTAACAATTGAGTCTCAGGTATAAGGACAAAGTAAATTGCCGAGCCCTTAAAAATACATGGGTAATTACAACTTACCACCATAGAGTAAACTTATCATCCTCCAGAGTATATTTGTGTAGTGTTGTCTTATGAGTTTACACTTTCCTGTAGCGTTGTCTTATGAATTCACACTCACTGTTTAGTCTTTTTCAAGTCATTGAAGGTTATCGAGGATTTGTTGTGCATAATATTATCTGTTTACAGAACCTTCTATACTAGTTGCATTTCCGTTGTCTTTTGATTTCAATGTGTTAATAATTATTTCAATGTTGTGCCTCCATTCTCTGCAGCTATATGGAATCTGATCCTGTAAAAATTGCAGTGGAAGGTGTGGAGAGATTCAAGGAAGAAAACTGTGATCTTATAATCGTTGATACCAGTGGGAGGCACAAGCAAGAAGCTGCTCTTTTTGAAGAAATGCGTCAAGTTTCAGAAGCAACGGTATTTCCTTTTTTCTGTGTTTGATATTTATTTCAAAATTCCATTAAATGCTAATATATTTTCTATGTTGTTCAGAAACCAGATCTTGTTATATTCGTTATGGATAGCAGTATTGGTCAGGCTGCTTTTGATCAAGCCCAGGCGTTTAAACAGAGTGTTGCAGTTGGAGCTGTAATAGTTACCAAAATGGATGGCCATGCAAAAGGTGGTGGTGCTCTTAGTGCGTAAGTGTTATGAGGATAATTGTATAATATTTACTAGCAACTTTTGCCATTATGGACAAGTTAATTTAATAGCTAGTAATCTTATATGCAAATGGACTCTCTGTATAAATGAACAAATTTAAGCGTTATGAACAGTTTATCTAAGTTAAAGCGTTACAAATATTTGCACTTGTCTAGCATTCATCAATGCAAGTGTATTGCATTGCATATTTTCCAGTCCAAATTTCAACTACCCTAGTGATATAAAATATACATAACAGAAATTAAAATATACATCATCTAAAGGATTTGGAAAATTAATATTATAAATCGTTGTGTTTGTAGTTAAAGTGCGAATATGTATTGTCTGGTGATCTGCATACCTTACTCTTGTTGGTTTGGTTTTATATATGTGCAGTGTTGCAGCAACAAAGAGTCCTGTCATATTCATTGGAACTGGAGAACATATGGATGAATTTGAAGTTTTTGATGTTAAGCCATTTGTCAGTCGTCTATTAGGTGTGTATTTCTTTTTCCTTTTTCTTCTCATCTAAATGCATTATTATTCATCAAGAACATGCAGTGGGTTTCTATAAATATTTAATCTTGACTCTTGTCAAATGGCTTTTGAAATAGGGATGGGTGACTGGTCTGGGTTCATGGACAAAATTCAAGAAGTTGTGCCTATGGATCAACAACCCGAACTACTTCAAAAGCTATCAGAAGGAAACTTCACCTTGAGGATTATGTATGAGCAGTTTCAGAACATACTTAAAATGGGTCCTATCAGCCAGGTTATTACTCATTAATACATTTGATGAAAGATACACTAACGAGTGTTTGCTTGGTCGTTCCTGTGTAATCAACTAATAATGGTTGCTATTTCATTTAATTTACTTCTCGGTTGATTTAGGTATTTTCTATGCTTCCCGGATTTAGTGCCGAATTAATGCCAAAAGGCCGTGAGAAAGAAAGCCAGGCAAAAATCAAGCGTTACATGACAATGATGGATTCAATGACAAACGAAGGCAGGCATTATGTTTTTACTGTCGTGATCAACTTTATGCATGCATGATTTAGGTTCTCATTGGAATTACATACGCTCCGTGCTAACCATTAATTGCCGATTCGTTTCAGAGTTGGATAGTTCAAACCCAAAGCTCATGAATGAATCACGTATCATGCGGATAGCCCGAGGTGCAGGTCGTCAAATTAGGGAAGTGATGGAGATGATGGAAGAGTACAAACGTCTTGCAAAAATATGGAGCAAAATGAAAGGACTAAAAATACCGAAGAAAGGTGAAATGAGTGCCCTATCCCGAAATATGAATGCCCAGCACATGAGCAAAGTCCTCCCTCCGCAGATGCTGAAACAAATCGGTGGCATGGGCGGGTTACAAAACTTGATGAAGCAGATGGGATCTGCCAAAGACATGATGGGAATGGGAGGATTGTTTGGTGGCGGCGGTGATTAGTTGAGTTGATTGCCTTGTGAGCTGACAATCATTGCCTACCATAGTCAGACATTTTAGTTCTTTTCAACTAGACTTAGTTGATCACGCTATGCAGTTCAATCAGCGTTGGATGTCTCATCTGCATATTTGCAACTGTTTCTTGTAAAATTATATTATTTTCCCGTGTATATTATTTATTTAGTTTACAGAGCAATCATTAAAAAAAGAAGCTATGTTGCTTTCTTTTTATTGAGAGTTTGATTGATAGATGTGCTACCAAGCAGAGCACTTATTTTTTTATTCACTAAATGTGACGAAAAGATACAGGTGCAAAAAATTATAGGCCACAACTAACATGTGTAACTAACTCAGTAATAGACACGGTGTAGGATTGACACACTATTTTTCTAAGAACTTGCTTAAAACAGTTTTTTGTAAATGGATTTCTGCCCCTTCCTCTTCAGAACTGACATTTGCATTTAGAGCACATCGAATAACCGAATTGACTTGTTTCCTTAAACTGGCATTGTCTACAAACATATGTGCCAGCATCTTCCTCAATTCATCATAAGTTTTCACGATACTGTCGGTAGTTGTATCACGGGTCTCTTCCACAGCAACAACAGCATCCTCTACGTCTTGTGCTAAGAGCTGTGCCTGTTCCCCATATTTGCAAACGTCATGTAACAAAAAAGTGAGTATAAGCATGGCAAAATGCAGTACACAGAATAAACCTAATGATAATTGCTAACGACTCTCATTAAAACATATGCCAATGGAGTGCAATGTCGAATGATGTTGCTACCATATAAGTTAGAGAAGGGGGAGGTAGAATAATTTTCAAGAGTGTGACAGATATGTAGATTTTAAACGCAATTACCTAAAATGTCGATCACTTACAGAAGCATAATGCACAAACGCATAGCATAAAAACCAGAACAGGAGTAAATAGCCTGCCCTGTATTTTCCAAGTGCCCCAGAATGTAAATATCAAAGGACAAAATTGTCGCCCAAGGTGCTTATCATACCTCTGCAAGCAAGAGACCGATCCGATTATCTGATGTAGCCAATAAATCTAGAGCATCAGATGGCGAAGTGTCTATATTTAGCTTATCTTCCTCCTCAACAAGGAAATTTACACTGCACTCGCGAAGCC